GGGTGAGAAGGGAAAGAGTCAAACCCTGAGATTTTTGGTCCCCTTTGAGCAAGTTAATTGCAATGTACTAATAATCTAACCCTATTTATTCAATTCAAGGTTTCATTTGTTTGATTAATTATAAAAAATTGATAAAAATAATTTTAAGAAATTAAGTAAAAACAACTCAAGATTATCAATGTTTCATTAGCTAAGAGTACTGAGGTTAATAAGGCAACAAATGCTCATCTCGCTACTCTGTACATAAATCTTAATGAGAATTCCACATATTCACAAATCGCTATAATTTTGTTACAATGAATGAAGAGACGATATCTTACTTGAACCAGGTGCCCGAGCAAAGCTATTAAAACACAAATGACAGTTGATAATCAGGCTATAGAAACAATTGCAATACAAATTTTGAAACCTTTTGATTTCCACACTACAAAAAATGATTAACAAAGGTTTTCAATATGCAAATTTTAAAAATTTACAGATGAAAACTCCCATACTGTTCAGAAGTCGAAATTTAAAACGTAGTAATTTAACTGTAACGGTTATGCTTCTTTGCAATTAGAGATTTACGCAAGAAGCATAACACGTTTGGCGAAAATTCAAGTTAAAAAGTAAACAAGTTCTTTTGAAATAAGTAATCTTTTTTATCAAAGTGACTTTTTTTACTTTAAAGAAAAAAAATGTGAAACATTGATAAAATTTAGTTACCCACATCTTCACTGTCGAACAATGTCAAATCAATGAAGAAAATAGCATGAATGGAGAAAGGTACATCATTGACAGCTACATGTATCGTCTGCAATAAAACGACCACAAGAAAATAAATATATTCATTAAAAACCATATAATTGAAACCCTCGATCCCAAAAATTATATAAACGCCCACATAATCAACATTCAAGCCAAGGAAAATTCAATTATGAATTCAATAATAAGATCATATTTCGAATTACCTCATTGAAGCCAAAATTTTGGCCATATTGCCTCTGCATAGTGGAGCTAAAATAGAGAGAAGAAAAACAAAATTCAAGACACCTTACAAGGTAGAGAAAAAAACAAAAGAAGGAAGAGAACGCCAACAACATTTTTCCCTCATGTTTCATTCAGATTTTTCGCCTGCTAATATTCTTTGGTTCCAATAGTATCAAAGTAACCATTACTTCATTTAAAAAAAGAAACTCAGAACACGGGTTTATTATAAACAAGTAAAAAGGAAGGGAAAAAGAATTAACTGCATATTAGCAAATTTCAAAATGTTTTGTCTGGATTCGTTGACTGGGAAGAATTCCCTTAGTTTGATATAATCGTTTGGTTTCCCGAGCATAACCCCCAACACATTTTTATTTTATGCAAAACTTACTCTGTTAAACAAAGCAAAGTTCAAGAACCTCTCAATTTTAGTAAACCAAAATCTCATTTTACATTAACATAAAAATTGAAAAGATTGAAAAGAAGTCCTTACCATGAAATTTTGGTATCCTGAATGGTTTTTGTATGGAAACTTGGAGTCGAAAGTGGACGGGTGGAAACACATCAGCAACATCTTTCTCTTCTTCATCTGGTTAACTGGTTTGTGATGAGTTGGTGAGTTTACAAGGTTCTCTGCCAGCATCGTTAAGTACCTAATAAAATTGTGAAAATAAAGAATGTTATTTTTGAAAAGATATAAAGAAAAAATGTGAAGTTAATTATGTTATGGACAAACACAATAATATCATGTGGAATGCCACTACTATTAATTGTTCTCTAGGTACAATAACTACATGAAAGAGATTCCAGATAACAGTAGTTTACCTTTCAGTTTGCCTCAGAAGAAACTCCAGCTGCTTATTAAGTGCTTTTTTCTTCTTTTGATCAAGCTCTAGTTGATGCTTGTACATGACTTGCAATAACCATGCATAGGAAATTTTTACTCTGAGAAGGTAGTGAACATAACAGGCTCGGAAAATGATTAAAAGCAATTATCCTAAATGACTTGCCAATTTTTCTATTTTTGTCCAAAATGTCTTTATGTCTTTAGAAATATTGGCTTCCACTTTTCTCAACCGTTGTTCCTCTTCCTGATCAAAGCATTAGGAAAACAAGTACAACCATCAGTAGAATGTGCAAAAAATTTTCTTCCTTGTATAGCCTACACTTATGAATCTTTTCAGGACGAGAATTAAATCTAAATCTTCACTCTCTTGTCTCCCCTTGCTGGCCCTTATTGCAACTTTCTTTGCTTGAGCAAGTTTTCGTTTTCTCTCTGATTCAAAGTCCTGCTAGTAACAAAGTCGTTAAAAAACCCATAAATAAATAAATAAATACACACACACACACA